CTGTATAACTGTTTAGTGCATGCACACTGCAAGAGGCCACTCCGGGGAGCTGCCCAGAAAACTGTGTCAAAACCCTGGCTCAGACCCATGGTTGCCAGAGACCTTGAAACACAAAGTAGCTGCAGCGCTTCCAGACCTGGGAGGTGAACGATGTCACAAAGGGTCACCAAGCACACCCCTCACCCCTGATGCCAAAGCCCAGTGAAATCCCTGAAAGCAGAGAAGCACAATGTGTGCCACCATGACCACCAGGCTGCAAGTCCTCATTTTTCCTGCAGGCCCTGACATGGGCTGCCACAGTCTAGGAACAGCCTCAGAACTGGCATCATTCAGCCTCTACCTCCCCACGGTGACCTCTGCAAGGAACTGAAACTCAGGGGCTGCTGGGTCAGCTATGCTGGGCCCAGGTCAGCCAGGATTAGGCTGTGCTTGCTAGAGAGGGTGAACTAGTGGATTGGAGGTTTTCAACCCCAACTCCTATTTGGGTGTGGGACTCACTTTTGGCCAGTAACCTTCTGAGTTTTTGACTTCTCCCCCCTAGAGAAGAAAGAGCAACCGATGGAGCCCATTTCAGCAGGAAGATGGTACGGCTCTTAAGCCATGAGTGCAATCAAAGCCCTGGGGCCTCTGAGGGATGAGGGAAGGAAAGCCAGTTTGCACAAAGAGAGGAAACGGGGACTCCCATCTGGTAAGACATCCACCCAGTGGTGGTGCTAGGACATTGCCTGATTCTCTTCTAAAATCTTCCAATTTTTCTTCTTACCATCTTTCTCTCTGATACAAGGAGCCAAGAGAAAGGGTGGTGTACATCTGCGTGAGTCATGAACTGCCACAAAACAAACCACCCAAACTCACAGCTTGAAAGAATAAACACATGTTGTCTCACAGAGTCAGGAATCCAAGAGGGGCTGAGCTGAGTGGCTCTGGCTCTTCTGAGTCTGTAGTCAGATTGTTGGCCAGGACCAAAGGTGCCCCATCCAAGCTCACTCATGGGATGGGAAGTCTCTGTGGGCCTACTCAGAGGGCTGATCCAAATGACTTCCAGGAGAAAGTAGGGCGAAGGGGTGGGGAGGATGGAGGGAGAGAAAGTGAGAACAAGCAAACGAAAATGAGTGTGAAATAGAGAATACAAAGCAGGCAGTCTCATTCTTTGTAATTCAATCCCAAAAAACAATTCTCTAGTCCGCCTGCCATGCTCTTTCCATTACTAAAAGCCATTCCGCAAGTCCAACACAATGCGAAGAAGCCTCCTTTTTGTTGTTGGTGGTGGTGGTTATGGGCCTAACATCCCTTGTGGTAAGTGGAGGAGCTGGTTCTGGAGGGTTCCAGAAGGTGCTCTTAGATGGCCTTTGCTTTGCTTTCCAGTAAATTCCCAGGGAAGGACGGTGTCAGACAGCACCCTGTACACAAGACGCAGGTAGAACCTTCAGGACAAGAGTTTCTAGGGATGGCAGAGAAACGGGACAGAAGCAGTCTGGCTTCGTGACAAAGTGAAGCCACAATAGCAATCCACTTTAGCACGCGAGGGTCTCTGGGCTCCATCCTTGATTCAACTAACTAACGTAATTAAATACGTATTCAACAGTGACAATATTTGGATTGAAGACCCAAAGAACATAAATAGTTATTCAAAGAGGGATGGAGCCAAACTCAATGTGTGTGTACAACTGGGCTGGCTAGAGTGTATTGAATTCAGGATCTGGGCACTGTTGCTTAGCTTTTTCACTCAAGTTTAGCACTCTACCACTTGCGCCACAGCTCCCCATTTTTTTGCTGTTTAATTGAGAGTCTTATAGACTTTCCTGCCTGGGTTAGCCTCAAACCACAATTTTAGATCTCAGCTTCGTAAGTAACTAGGATTAGAGGGTGAACCACTGATACCTGACCTGGTCTGTGTCTCTGAAAGTACACTCCACAGTGCTTATACAACTGGGTAAACATCCCGAATCACATTTCTCCGAATGTTTCTGAGCAGCACCCGACTCTACTTCCCATCATCTTGCCTCTTACACATGGGAAAGCCGGGACTTGAGGTGATTTGTCGGAGCTCAGCCTTGGGATTCAACCCAAACCACCTCAGGCCCAAACTATCAGCTCTCTACTAATCCAGAGGTTTCCAGACCCGACTTTGTGTGGAGCCTGGGATGGGTTCCACTCAGCTTTCTCAGTAGCTATCATGGATGGGAGTTTGGTTAGGAGCCGGAGACAGGCCTAAGATGAAGGGAGACCTGAAATTCAAGGTTAATGAGGGTGAATCAGCCGAAGAGGCAGGAGAGGATGAAGGCCAAAGACAAAGAGAGCCTGAGAACTAGGGCCCCCAACAAGCATTCTCTAGAAACACTGCCTCCCACTACTCTAAGTGCACATCTGGAGGGGGCAGAGCCCTGAGGCTCACGACTCCTGGGGAAGGATGCCCTATGTATCTAAATGTACATAGAGAGACATGGCACACAC